GTATATTTAGCCTTTTTATTGCACAGTACAACCCCATGCGGTCTGTTTGAAATTAAGGGATGCTTCAGCAGTTGATTGTCAGCTTGACTTCACTGAGGACCTAAATTAAAAATACATTATTCATGTGTTTTCTGGGCCTCAGGTGACATCATCTGTTTTAATTAAAGGTATGTGCTGCAAGCATAATTTAGAACCTTTTATATCACCTAATAATAATTACAGTGACAGGGTTACCAGCTCCCTATCTAATGTAGAAATGTGTAGCCCAAGCTGGGTACTGGTGAATTTGGCAATCACATTACTAAGCCCTGCACTGAATGGAAATAATTGTGCTTTTTTTTTTCCCTTACTTTCCAAGTTTGAAAAATTCAAGTATGATTAATCTATTTGACTTGAGCAGTGGTGAACTCTGGTTTACTATGGCTCAGGCTGAGTACCATTTTTATCTACATGCCCAGAATGAGGTTACAGATGTTTTACAGCAAATTATCTTTGGCCACATTTATATAAGGTGCTGCATGGTGGTTTACAACTGTAACATATTGTCAATAGATACCTGCACTGCTTGCTTGAGGAAAGTTTTCTTCCATTTCCATAGCTTTTATTCCAATGGCTTACAAAATGCCTGTATCTTTTCATATTGTAACAACGTAAGAATTTATGATTAATAAAGAAACATTGTGTTGTATAAGTTTTAAGCGTCAAAGCTGTAAATCATTGTACAGTTGCATAATTTGATGTATTTTCCTCACTATACAAAAGTACATACAGTTATCAAAGACACTGAGAAGTTTAGAAGAACAGCAGCTTGATCAAAAATAAGGAGTGTTCAAAATCTTCGTTATAGGGATCAGATAACAAACAGTGAGATGGGCAAGTGCAGAGGGGCCTGGTGTAGCTGTATAATTGTTTCCTTTCCTATTCATTCCTACCTAAAAAGGACTTTAAGTATCTGAAAAGCACCCACACTTCATTTCTTTGCAAAAACTACTGGAATTGTATTATCTAAGAATCAGCTGGGAACCTAGACACATTAAATGATGGGGGCAGGCAGCCAGCAAAGGAGCCATACAGAGGTGCTGGTTGATTAGGAATGATGCATGGGGCTAGCAACGTGCACGTGGAGCTAGCAATGGGAGGATGAAAGGCACAGAAGCTTAAAAAGGTAGGATTGGAGGGTGCCATCCTTCTAGCCAGTGGGGAAAACTACATTCAGCAGAGTTGGAAATACCTGGTGAACATTGAAATAATCGCGGGAATAACAGTTTGAAGGTAATTTCTGTACTCTGGTGTTTTAGAACTACACCTGGATTAACAGAAGAAACATGACAGGCAGGCTATTCTCTCTGATATTTTATTTACTTTATCATCTTCCCAGGGGAATACCGTCTCAGGACTGAGGGCTTCTCTACAGGCCAGTTCTTTAATGCTTCAGCACTCAGCTGTGTCATCAGCTTGTTACTGCCTAAAACTATAGGGTTTCATATGCATATACAATTGTTTACTAGCTTGTTATCCATTCCCAGTACATTGTATTGTAACAATGCTTTATAGGGAGTAGACCATGAAAATGAATAACCAGTCAATGTTAGATGGTTTAGTAGGAACCAAAATGTCCTTCCCTATTCCAGTGAAATACTGCATTTTCTTATGTGTGAAGTTTAGTTATGTATCATCACTTCCATCATAAATCATACAGGACACAGGCTCCTTTAATTATAAAGCCTGCGCTATATGCAGCCACCTTCAGGTGATTGGGCACTGGCAAACAGAAGTGTGGGACAGGCCATATAACCCAATATTCAAATGGGACCCATCGCACTCTTGACCAGACAATACCCTTACGAGTTGGGTGGGTGCCGGAGTGGCAGCAGATGCCTCTGCAAATCAATGTACAACATAGAAAGAGTCACTCGCACTCCAGCTTGATTTCAGTCAATATTTATTGACCTCTGTAGTGTCACATCACGTTAGCGATGTTTCGGAAACCACATGCTCCCTCAGGCAAACAGAGTGAGACATGTCACTGGGTGGGAACGACCTTCGTACATCTCTTGGAATCCTGCTTCAACATAAAGGTGGACAGGTTAGTGGCCAGGGCCAGAGATCCTGAGGCCTTTGCAGTGGGTTTGCTAGTGACCCCATGGGATCAGTTTCAGCTGATGCACACTTTCCCTCCGGTACTTATTCTTCTCTGACCACTCCACAGCATCAAGATGGAGGGTGCTCAGGTGATCCTGGCGGTTCAGTTGATAGCTGGAGAATGAGGACATGTGCAGGAGACTCTAATGATCTGGAGACATGTTATAAGAGCTTCTAGAGCTCTGTCTTTACAGTTCCTTTATAATTGAGTGTGTCCTGGTCAAAAGTTTTCAGAATGACACAAATAATAATTTTCACAAAGTCTGCTGCTTCAGATCGTATGAGGGCAATCTGCATATACTACAGAATCATATGAAGACTGACCAGATCAATTGCAATTAATTGCAAAGTACCTCTTTGCCATGAAAATGAACTTAATCCCCCCCAAAAAACATTTCCACTGCATTTCAGCCCTGCCACAAAAGGACCTGCTGACATCATGTCAGTGATTCTCGTTAACACAGGTGTCAGTGTTGACCAGGACAAGGCCGGAGACCAACTCTTTCATGCTGATCGAGTTAGAATAACAGACTGGAAGCTTTAAAAGGAGGGTGGTGCTTGAAATCATTGTTCTTCCTCTATTAACCATGGTTACCTGCAAGGAAACATGTGCAGTCATCATTGCTTTGCACAAAAAGGGATTCACAGCTAAGGATATTACTGCTACTAAGATTGCACCTAAAATCAACTATTTATCGGATCATCAAGAACTTCAAGGAGAGAGGTTCAATTGTTGTGAAGAAGGCTTCAGAGCACCCAAGAAAGTCCAGCATGCGCCAGGACCGTTTCCTAAAGTTGATTCAGCTGCGGTATTGGGGCACCACCAGTGCAGAGCTTGCTCAGGAATGGCAGCAGTCAGGTGTGAGTGCATCTGCATGCACAGTGAGGCGAAGACTTGGAGGATGGCCTGGTGTCAAGAAGGGCAGCAAAGAAGCCACTTCTCTCCAGGAAAAATATCAGGGACAGACTGATATTCTACAAAAGGTACAGGGATTGGACTGCTGAGGACTGGGGTGAAGTCGTTTTCACAGATGAATACCCTTTCCGATTGTTTGGGGCATCCGGAAATTACCTTTGTCCGGAGAAGAAAAGGTGAGCGCTACCATCAGTCCTGTGCCATGCCAACAGTAAAGTATCCTGAGACCATTCATGTGGGGTTGCTTCTTAGCCAAGGGAGTGGGCTCACTCACAATTTTGCCTAAGAACACAGCCATGAATGAAGAATGCTACAAAAACATCCTCCATGAGCAACTCCTCCCCACCATTCAAGAACAGTTTGGTGGTGAACAATGCCTTTTCCAGCATGATGGAGCACCTTGCCATAAGGCAAAAGTGATAACTAAGTGGCTTGGGGGAACAAAACATCGAAATTTTGGGTCCATGGCCAGGAAACTCTCCAGACCTTAATCCCATTGAGAACTTGTGGTCAATCCTCAAGAGGTGGATGAACAAAAAAAAAAACCCACAAATTCTGACAAACTCCGAGCATTGATTATGCAAGAATGGGCTGCCATCAGTCAGGATGTGGCCCAGAAGTTGATTGACCGCATGCCAGGGCGAATTGCAGAGGTCTTGAATAAGAAGGGGCAACGCTGCCAATATTGGCTCTTGGCATAAACTTAATGTAATTGTCAATAAAAGCCTTTGACACTTATGAAATGTTTGTAATTATACTTTAGTATACTATAGTAACATCTGACAAGATCTTAACAAAACACTGAAGCAGCAGACTTTGTTAAAATTAATATTTGTCTCATTCTCAAAACTTTTGTCCAGGACTGTACAGTCCAGGGCAACCACACCACATCAGATATTCTCTGCAAGATCCAGTATATAAAGATCAGAAAAAAAGAACAGACACCACAAACAAAAAGAAAGTGGAAAATAAATAAACCACATTATTTCGCTAGTAGACACCCACAGGGTTATTCACAAAAGGGTGAGGAGTTTGGGGGAAGGCAGGAGAAGTGAAAAATCTAGGACAGCATAGCTGTACTGGAAAGTGAGGTCAATTGCAGAATTCTTCTAGTTCAGCTATGTTGTTCTAGATTGTTCACTTCTCCTGCCTTCTCCAAACCCTTCACCCTTTTGTGAATAACACTGCAGGTTAATGAATATTGAATATTTCTTCCATTCATTGGAGCACACAGTGGAGATTTTGAGATCTTGACTGGGGTTACACTGCCCAGAGTAAACAAGTTTTACTCTTGAGGCTGATGAAGGGGACCCTGCGTGGCCCCGAAAGCGCTTGATGACACTTTGAGTGATAACTTGACATCAATAAATGGATTTCCACTGACGTCTAAGTCTTTGTCGTGCTGGTGATGTTTCTACACTAGATTATGCTGAATGCGGCGCCATCCGCAGTCATTGCGAGCACCCACAAATGGGTATGGGAGTTCCGGTAAGGAGCGCTACAGGTCCTTGGACGACCTTCAGGAATATGACACAAGGCACAAAAGCACAGCCAGAAGGGAAGAGGGGTGAGCAGAGTGGATAAGAGTGTCTTGCCTTACTGTGCCTGTGTGTTTGTGGAGAAACACACAGCTTACTAGCATGCACAAGGGCAGCTCCATGGGACCTTGCAAGAGACAGGAGCCCCCCTAAAACACGATATCAGGGCCAGCACACCATCCATTTTTAGTGATTTAATCAGCATTTAAAAAAAGCTTAAAAACATTTGGACTTTAATATCACTTTAAGAAAGAGAGGGTAAGGAGTGGGGTGGGTGGTGAAGTCTTTCACCCCTGGCAAGGCACGTTGTTCCCCTTTTAATAAAGACAAGGGCCTTACCCCTCACATGCGGTCCCCAACAGGATGTGGGGGTGTGCCAGGGGGCACTTCTGCCACCATCATGTAAATACCGTATTTTTCAGTGTATAAGACGCTACTTTTTCATAATCTTTATCTAAAAATAGATGTGCGTCTTATACACGGGGGCCGCGGTTTTGAAAGTGCTGATAGCACTGCAAACTAGCCTCACGGATTGCAGAGACAAGATAACAGTTCTCCTCCAGTCATAAATCTTTTGAACCTGACGTGAGCTGTTGCTGGGGAGATCGTGTAGGCAGGGCCCAGAGCGATAATGTCGGAGCATTCTGTGACCATAAAAATGTCAGAAAGTGAAAAACAACCTGTAAACTCTCTAAACTCATGGTATGGTGTGTAACAAGAGGTGATTGTGAAGTCCTTCAAGAAATGTGGAATCAGCAATGCCATGGACGGAACTGAGGATGATCTTGTATATATAGACAGTGACTCAGCAGACAGCAGTGATGCATTCGGGGTCACACAGGATCCCCTTCATCAGGCAGTTCTGCCTGATGAAGGGGATCCTGTGTGACCCCGAAACATTGCAATAAGTGTATTGTTGCATGATGCGTCAATAAAAGACGTTTTTCTACTTTGGAGTGCCGGTGTCCATAACTCTTTATACATGTGGGCGTCTTATAGACGGAAAAATACGGTAAATAAGGGGTAAATTGTGCCCCTGGCTACTCATTCATTAAAAATAAAGTTGTAAATAAATTCACAACATATTGGTCCCTAATTTAAGTCCTACTTCAAAAAAAATGTAAGTCACGTTGTATGGCAATGTAAATCCACACCAACCATGGTAAATGACACTTGCTAAAATAAGACACACTGACCGATGACATTTCCAAGCCCGGCAGGTAAATGGTCAAAGGCATAAAACCAGAGGGGTGAGGGCTGTGTTCGGAAATGAATGCAGAGAAAAGGATTTTACAGCGGGTGCAAAACAATTTCCTATTGTCTCTTCCGTTTATTAAAGGAAGCAGAAAAGATCTTTAGATCTTGACCATTGAGACATCCCAAACCAATGTCAAAAATAGGGCCTATGAGAGGACTATCTAGGGTGACTCCACAATTAGTATATAGATACATTGGTGGTCTATCCCAAATGTATTCACAATAGTGGAGCTCCCAGTCCCCCTAACCGTTGCAGCCATGACTGTGGGACACACTAGCACACCCCCAAAAAAAGTGCTGGCACAGATGTGGGGAAAAAACCCAGCATCACACATCCAAAAAAGCTTCATGGTAGTTCACATGACATACTGTATGTAGTACATCCTGCCCTTCTGCTACTTCCCTCCATCACACTTTCCATTGTATTGAGTTGCAGCTCCCTCCTTGTCTGCTCTGCAGGATCAGGATGGCTAGCGGCGCGGGTGTGCTCATAGCTGCAGAATAGGTTGGGCCCGGGGGATATGGTGCTCTGGCCTAATCGGGCTCTTACTGGATACTCTGTGGACTCTCCCACACCATCTAGATCTTCTATCCCTTGGACACTGTTATTTAATCGGATAAGCCTAGTCCTGCATAGCACCCCTTATGGTCACAGAGATGGCGGGGTCGTGACCAAGACCTTTCTCCATTCTATGGTGGTTGTTTTTTCATCTCAACCAGACTTGGTTCTTCCATCCTACTCAGCTCCAGTACTTCAGAAGGCTAACCTCTTCACTGTCTAGATGTAGGTGGCATTGTGAGGGTTTTGCCTTGCAGCTTCTGCTTCTGTTGATTAGAATGCTTCTCTGAGTCTTCTAGGGCAGCCCCTGAGTCCCCCTTTTGAAATTGTTCCTGCACATAATGTGGTCAAAGGGACCTCTCATCTAGTGAAGGTTCCGTATCCTGTTCGCACCTATGGAGTCTTATAGATGGCATTGCCCTGTTTCTGCCCTAAGAGAGTTTGCTTTGGGACATCCCAATGATCAGAGATTCAAGTTTTCCACTGTGTCCTACAATGAACGTGAGTAAGTACAGAAATTCCAACACTGATCAAAGTAGGAAAAAATACTTTTTTAGTTTTATTACATTTTTTTTTGTCTAGATTGCATAAAAGTTTATTTTTGCAAGACATCACCAAAAATTGCCTTTTTCTCTAGTCACCTTCCAGGACAGCATTAGAGAGATAGGCTCCTCCCACCGGAAACAGGAAACACATCACCCACACCTAGAATAAAAAGAGTACCAGCCTAGCACACCTCAGTTATTTTGTGTTTCCTCCGGCCGAGCAGGACATCGTAACGTTTGTTATTTTTTTCCTAGGCCTACGTGCTAGCGAGCAGGGGCTTCCCCCCACTAAAAAAAGATTTATTTATTATATTGCTATTGTCAGTAATGCCAAAGTTATTGCTGAATCAATAAGCCTATAGAAGACAAGTAAAATTGCTCTGGTCCATAGGCATTGTACAGGTGTGAGAGCTGAATAGGTTAAATAAACTAACAATAGGTTGCAGCATTTTTCTGAAATGGATGTATTTCACCTTGTGGCCACTAGATGGCAGTCATGCCACTTTTCAGACAAACCTAGTTTTCCAAGCTGTTTAAGTTACAGCAACTGTACTAAACAAAGCTATGAATACACCAAACCCATAAAATCACATTTGTATTTATACTAAAGACATAGTATAATACAATAGTATAACTAAATAAAAACAGTACAATTACTAAAGTCCATGGTGTACACAGTAAAATGTAATAGAAACAGACGAGACACATACAGGTGAAACTCGAATAATTAGAATATCGTGCAAAGTTCATTTATTTCACTAATGCAACTTAAAAGGTGAAACTAATATATGAGATAGACTCATTACATGCAAAGCAAGATAATTCAAGCCGTGATTTGTCATAATTGTGATGATTATGGCTTACAGCTCATGAAAACCCCAAGAACCCCAAATCCACAACCTCAAAAAAGTAGATTATTACATGCAATCAATAAAACAAGGATTGTACATAGAACAATATCGGACCTCTGAAAAGTACAAGCATGCATATGTACTCAGTACTTGCTTTGGGCCCCTTTTGCAGAACTTACTGCAATTACTTTTGCACGATATATATATATA